ACGTAAGCACTGAACATTGGCTGCTTCTTGCTTTTTGCCATCGCCTCCTCCCGCCCGATGCTCTACACATCCTCGATCTGCTCAACCCGCGCAGCCTTGCCCACGCCGCTTTTGGTCGAATCGGCATCGTCCGTGGCGTGATGGTGCCTGAGCTGCTTCGCCCGCGACTTGCTCGGCACCGTATCCTGAATGCAACCCCTGATGATGTTGCCCTCGAACAGCTCGCCGATGGACTCCAGGCGCACTCCCTTCGTCTCGGGCACGCAGAACACCGTCCAGACACCCATGACAATGCACAGCGAGCCGAATAAAAGAAACGTTCCGTACGTAATGTTGTCCAGCATCAGGGGGGTAATCTTTGCGATGACAAAGTTAAAGAGCCACTGCGTCATCAACGAGGCCGCCATGAGCAGAGATCGCACATGGTTAGGACTGCACTCCGATGCCAGCACGAATGGGATCGGTCCCCACCCGAACGAGTAGAACACGACGAAGAGATAGACGCATATGATGGCGAAGATTGCGTTGCCATCCAGCTCACCAGTGGGTGGGTGGACTGCCTGGTTGACGCCAATGTAGTACATCGCAAAGGCTTGGCCCATCGAGCCGAGGATCAACGACCACTTCCTTCCGAGTTGCTCGGTGAAGGCCATCAGGCCAATCGCGGTAACGACGATCTTGACGATACCGTATACTCCAGTTGCCTAGTTGCATGTTAGTCTGGCTCGCATGCAGTCTTCACAAAATACGTACGAATAGCCCGGAAGAGTTGCCAGTGAGGCCAATCTGCTTGAAGATTTGCGGCGCATAGTAGTTGATCGAATTGGTACCTAATCACCACGTCAGTATATGCCTCAAATGCAGATTGCATGTCGGAACTTCTTACCGGTCCACTGTTGCCAGAACATGAGGATTACAACAAAGCTCGAGCGGTACAGCATCTTCTTGCTCGAGCAGGCAGCCCTGAGCTGAGCCATCATTGGCATCTTCTCATGGCCGTTAAAGTCGGCAATAATCTCGTCTAGCTCCTGCACCACCTCAGGGTCCTCGACGCTCTTGCCGCGGACGTGAGCCAAAGCTTTGGCGGCTTGACTGAGCTTGTTCTTCTCGACGAGCCAGCGGGGAGACTCATTCATGAAGAGCATGCCCACAAGCAGGAAGGCGCCGGGAAGCATCTGGAGGGCAAATGGCACACGCCATTTTGTCGCGTCTGTGGGGCTAGGGATGTCGAGCGATATGCCGTAGTTTACGAAAAAGGACAGACAAATACCAGTCACGTTGAAGAGTTGCTGCTAGCGTTAGTGGGTCGGTTCCAGAAAAGCAGTCTTGACAGGTCATACCATGCATCCAATACAACGTCCTCGGATAGCCCTTGGCGCGTTTTCTCCAATGTAGGTAGGGACGACCGCTGAAATCAGACCAACGCCGAAACCGCCAATGACGCGTCCAATGTAAAGCTGTGTTAGACTTGTCGTGCCAATTCCACATAAGGTTTGGATCAAAGACCCAAGGATGAAAATGACGTCCGCAATGATCAGGGCCCATTTGCGCCCAAAAGTATTCGAGACGTAGAAACTAGACAGTGCACCAAAGAAACATCCCGCCTGAAGAACAGACACGATGTTTCCCTGCAGATTGGCAAAGTCTTTGCTGTCCTTATCTAGGGCGAATGAGTGCTGGAACGCGTCCATCGTCAATACACCTACAAGCGCGTTAGCCATGATCATTGCACGTGCGAGTGCGCACACATACCTCCGATAAGACCCGTGTCCCAACCGAACAGCATTCCACCAAAAGAAGCCACAGCGGTGAGTACATAGGCGCGACGGTACGTCTTGATGTCCGCCCACACCTCGGACATGTTGAGCTTGGCCATGATGGCAGCGCGTCGCAAAGGAAGCCAAATAGGACAGAAGAAAAGCCCGACGCGAATGCGATGGCGATGCGACGAGCGGTCAAAGACAGTAATGTCGATCTGTCAATGTGCCTAGGTAAGGTAACATCGCGGCAAGCATCCGACTATATATCGTCAGTTTCCCCAGCACCAACCTCGCTGCGCCCAGCCAGCCAAACTCCGAAGCCAAAACCCGCAGGCAAACGGCGAAGCCTATTTGGCTTGGCTGTCGGCATAGTGTAACGCGACGTCGGGGATATGACGTGGGGACGTATCGTGGGGACTCCAGATGTGCCAGTCACAGGGCGGAGCGCCCCATAGCTGGTGGGTCGGCATCGCGGATGGTAATTATCCTTCCATTCAAACGCCGTTGCGATTATTGTGTTGAGGCTCTTGCTGTGAATCCTACGGCTGCAGTGTGGGAAGACGAGTCAAACTTCTGCAGGGCCAAGGGACGGGATGAGTCGCTGCTGGTGCAGTGCGAATGCAGTTTCTGAAAGAATGTGTGTGCGGACGTGTTCACGTGCGAAGATGTCGGGTGCCAGACTGGGCCCATGCTTAGCGTTGCTTACGGCGGGCGGTGAGCTCGTCTTGTGCATGTGAAGAACCCAAACAGCAGCCGATAATTTCTCGAACGTGCGATATTCTCACGATGCAAAGACCGACTCCAGATTTACTCTTACAGTTCCCCCTTTTCTCCACATTCTTTCAGAGACCGACCCCAGGTTTTCCTCCTCCACATCCTGCCTCCGCACGGAAGCTAGGCGATTGAAATTGCGACAAGCGTCTCATTGGCCTAGTCACTGAGCAATCCATATGCCGAGCCAAGTCGCCGGCCCCGACGCTGTCTCGTTTGTCCCCTAAGCCGACATACGGCCTGATGAATAGTAAGTCGGGAACGTAGAAGCGACGATACGCGAAACTTTGTAGATATAGCCATGTCAAGGTCACTTTGATGCAGAAGAAAAGTTGTATCTCAATGGTCATCATTTCTTCATTACCCATTCGAGTACAGATCTTTCCAGCTCGAAGACCGATCGTCCAGACGATCAATCACAAGTTTGCCTTGCCCTTCTGTTCGGGTACTTGCGTCAACAGCTTATCACTCTGGATAGCCGACTTCAAGTTATCCAAGACTAATATCTCCATGTCGCGCTGGAAGCCGTCAGTTGTAATTCAGAGTCAATGAGATGCGTGGACAGCGTCACTTACCTGTGTTTCGTATGTGCCGGTTCCAACGTGAGGCAGCAACACCGCCCTCTCGCATTCCAGTAGTCCCGGGTGGATCTTCGGCTCCTCCTCAAACACGTCCAGTCCGCATGTCCAGACCTTGCCGCTCTTCAGTGCGTCTACCAAAGCCGCCTCATCGATCAAAGCACCTCGTGCGGTGTTGACGATTATCACCCCGTCCTTCATTGTGTTGAACTGCTCCTTGCCAATGATGTGCGTAGTCGACGGGTTGAGCGCCAAGTTCAAACTAAGGACATCGGATGTCTTCAGCAGTTCCTCGAAGCTCACGTACTTTGCTCCATTCTCCTCGTTGGCTGGTAGCTGATTGCGGTTGTGGTATTGTATCTTCATGCCGAATGCCTTTGCGCGATGTGCAACTGCCGAACCGATGCCACCCATGCCTAGGATACCGAGTGTCTTGTTCTTGGGGTCGTGACCGAGAGAGAAGTTACCACGCCATTTGCCTGTGCAATGTGTCAGCAACCGTTTAACGAAAAGTTGGATATACAAACCGTTGTTGACGGCCATGTACGCTTGCTTGATATTCCGCAGCGCGCCTAGCATCAGCCAAATGGCAACATCTGCAGTCGCGTCGTTGACCGCTATCGGCGTGCTCGAAACCGATATTCCCCTCTTTGTGCATGCTGCGACATCGATGTTGTTGTATCCCGCTCCGTTGTGGCAAACGTACTTCAGGCTCTTGGGGAGAGCGTCAAGCAGTTCCGCGTTGAAATCTCCGGTAATCGGGTTTGAGTCGTTGCTTCGGTAGAGAGCATAGATGCCGTCAAATTCACCACTCTTGCACTTTGAGAGGAAGTCTTCTCGGCTACCATCGGGGTACTCGTGCAGCTTCGATGCTACTTGCGAAACCTGCTGCCATTCTTTTTGGGCGTGTGACAGCTTGCCAATAAGAAGTGCTGCTCGTTGCGACATGGTGGATAGGCGATATGCGAAGGAGTTTGAAGGGCGATTGAGTACTCTGGTGGAATGGAGGGGTCGAGACGAAATAGCTGCCGGTTAATGTTATCTTGAGCGCAGCGGCGTTTGGTAACCTTTTATTACGTGCTGCCAGATCCACCAACGGCGCTGCTTAACGCGGCCTATCTCGGACCGAACCTATTTGATTGCAACATCGAGTGTGGTAATTTACTCCGCTAAATTGGCAGCATGACAGTTTGATATCCCAAGTATTGTGTTGCTACAAATATCTGTGTATTGAGTAAGATGATGCAACCCCACCATCACGGCCTCGGCTGCCCCGCCATCGTCACTTCCAAAGCACATGCAGCAATGATGATATCCGACACCAGGAACAAACATCCGTTCAAACCTCCACGCAGCAGATGTGCTTCTACTTACTTTGTTCTACCACGCTTCAATTTCGCGACTGCTTCGCGCTCAATGATGACACGAGTATAGAACACGCTCGGCATTTGACCTTGCCAGCTTGTTCGAGTTCAAAAGCCGACGAAACACGTGAGTAAGCTAGCCTCTTCCGTCGCACCAACACCGAACGAGCCAACCTTGGAAGCGTCGTCTTGACAGATCGGTGGTCTCTCATCTCCCGAGCCGAAGGATGCAGCTTCCAGACTCAGGCCGAACGCCTTCCAACATCAGGCAGCTGCAAGGCAAACATGCAAATGGCTGCCTACATCAGCCTGAACCTTAACGAACCTCAAAAATGGACGAGATGAGCGAAATGATGCATCCGCGACATCTATTTCGGAAACTTTGGTGATTGTTGGGCGAGCACTTCACATCGCAGAAACGTATAAGATCATGCAGTCGCATAGAATGTAGCATCGCATTCCATCAGTGAAAAACACCATCGAGTATCTTACATCCGTCCATACTTATCGCAGATAAAGTAACAAACATGGATCTCAAGCACATTGCAATCCTCGGTGTATGCCTCCCATTCATTCCTCTCACATATCACCTCACTTCAAACTGCTCTACAACGGCCAAAACTAACATATTTATCAGCTGGGAGGGAACGTCGGAAACGCCATCATAACCGAACTCCTCAAAGACGGACCCCGCTTCACCATCACAGGCATCACGCGCTCAACATCAACCTACAAACCACCTCCTACCATCACCCATCGCACTGTCGACTACACATGTTTCTCCTCTCTCCAAACCGCATTCGAGAACCAAGACGCAGTAGTAAACTGCATCACAGGCGGAGCCACGCATTACGAGCCATCCAAACTCATCATCGACGCCGCGGTCGCTGCAGGCGTCAAGCTCTTCTTCGCCAACGAATTCGTCGGAGAGATCACCCGCGAGGCGTTTAGAAGGTTACCGGAAGCTTTTGTTGGCGGTAAATGTAGGATTAGAGAGTATCTGGAGGGATTGGGGAGGGAAGGGAAGATGGCGTGGACGAGTTTGAACGGTGGGCCGTTCTTTGATATGTGTATGTGGTTTCCTAGCTATGCGACCTGATTTTGGAAAGGTGATACTGAGTACTGTATGATAGGGTTGATGAAAGGCCCCGCAGGCTTTGGTAATATTTTCCCTATCAACCACAAACCATCACCATCCCGCTAACATATGATGACCAGACATACCCAACCGCCGCGCCCGCATCTACGGCTCAGGAAACCAACCCTTACACTGGACACCCCTACCCACAATGGGCCTCGCAGCAGGAAACATGCTCCGCAACCCCGACCCCATCCGCAACCGCCCCGTCCTCCTTGATCCCATTACCCCTTCCTCTACTGTCACTCAAAACACACTGTTGCGCACCCTTGAAAAGGTTCTCCATACCACCTTCACCATCTCGCACGTCGACGTGGACAAGATCCATCGAAACGCTTTGGTCGTGTTGGAGAAGTGGAAGGAAGGCGGTGAGCCGGAGGAAGGGAAAGCGCAGATGGGTAAAGCGATCAAAGGGTTGGGCGTGTGTAACCAGTTTTATGAGAGCGACGATGAAGGTCATGCGGAGGACTTGGAGAGGACTGTTCAGAATGAGCTCGTTGGTGTGGAGACCATGCAGCTGGAAGATGCAGTGAGGGATGCGCTGGAGCGATATGGGGAGAACTGTCAGGTTGTTCAGGGCATGTACAACGTGGAAGCTTGTGAACTTTAGATGTTCTACTACTGCTAGTATGTTCTTCGGGTGTAGCACATCGTTACCAAAATTAGAAATGCAATTATACAACTTCACCCTGGCATGGAATATAGGGCTTACCTCGCCGTGATGAGTATCATATCAAAGATGAAGCGCAAGGAGTCTCATGAAACCGCACTTATGCTAAGATGGAAAACAGCAGCAACATGGGACACAGTCAACGGCTGCAGGAGTAACGGTAATCCTGGTACAGTAGTGTACACAGCAATTATGTGGTATACTACATGCTTTTTTGGGTGTTGTACAACGAGACTGGGATTGCTGATTGCTCAGACATGCCGCTGTCATTCTATATCTTGTTCTGAATGCATGCCCTTGAAGGCGCAATGTTCATACCTCTTTCATCCACAGTGCTGGCGAGTGTACGCGACACATCTAGCCACCACCTGGATCATACCCTTCATATCCTGGATACCCTTGCTGATCTGGATCCTGAAAAGCCGCTGGATCCCATTCCCAATGGTCGAAAGTCGATTCGTAGGGATTTCCATAGAACAGATTCAGAGGCTGACCGTATTCTGTTAGCCCAGTGGTGGGATCGTTCAGAATATCGCCGCCAGGAGCGTCGTAGAGATCGAAGTTGCCTGTGTTGGACTGCGAGTAGATGTTGCTATTGAATGGGTCAGCGCTTGCCCATGCAACATCTGACTGCTGCAACGTAAGAGGTTGACTGTACGGCTGATATCGCTGCTGTGAGTCAAAGGCCATATGCTCTATATGTTGTTGCTTTTTGTGCTGATCCGTTATCTGTGGCTGAGGTAGTCGACGACGGGCCGCCTCTTCTTTGGTCTGCTTATTCATGACTCTGGCGATAACATTGTATGCGTTCTCGCTGACTGCGTCGACGGGTTTCATCGAATTCAACCATCGTATGAGCTTATCGATGCAGGCTGTAATATGTGACTTTTCGACCGTTAAGTGTATGCCGTCCAATGACAACTCAAGAAGTAAGACCGTAAGGGCTTGCATGACTATAGGGGTGGTTAGCCAAGCTCCATATCGCAATGTGTGAGGTTCTTACTTATATGAACAGCACACCACCACGGACCGTGTCCGTAAAACCATGCAGGATTGGGAGGATCTGGCAACATGGAAGTGAGATCTAGAGCCGCACCTATGCAGGCCTCAGCAGATTTCTGGTTGAATCGAGTCGACTGTTCGCTCTGGCCCTTTATGCGCAGGTCTAGCCGGCATAGACAAGGCCGGGTGATGCAAATTTTGGCGTTGTGATAATAGATGTAGAGCAGCACCTGCTCTCGGCTCAGGTTGCTCTCTGAAGTGGCAGCGGTCGCTGTTGCTGGACCCCGAACCAGGGAGTGCAAGGCCCAGGCTTCTAAATCGTCAGACAGCGAAGCAATCTCCTTTTGGGCAGCCTTCCAGGACTTGGCAGACTTTTGTGCGGAATACAAGCCAGACAAGATCTTGTCCATGAGGATATCGATCCTAACGTAGGCTACGTCAAATGGATCTACGCTGGTTTTGATCATGGACTCGCCAGCAGAAGACTCAGATGCCTGTCTGATTGCAGCTGATGTGGTGGTTTCACGAGATGATGAATCCAGTTCTGTACCCTTTGCGCCTGGTGGCGGTACAGTACAGTCAATGGCGCTTACTGTGCGTGGGCGCCCAGTTATGCAAGTAAGAACACATTCGATGGAGTAAAGTGACCACCAAATCTGGGCCAGGGCCTTCTTTCTCTTGGGAGACATGGAAGGGTCTTCGTGTCTGAGGTGCAAGCCTGCGGCCTGTGCGTGTCGAAGGGCGATGCCAATCATGTACCAAGCTCTGCAACGTCCCTTGTTAGCATACTTACAGGCTACAAAGGTGAATGTGCCTTCGTTCATCCGAAGTACGACGTACCTGCTGACATGACCTATTGTCAAGTAGTAGAAAGACAGAAGCCCAAATGCCTAGACATGGGTCAAAAGATGTTGGGTCCAAATTCAATGGATCTTACCTGAATCAGCGCTTGATCTGGCTGCGCAACGAGAGTATCAATGCTTTGGAGCTGCAATAGATGGATTGCTCTCCACATATACACTAAGTGATCACGATCGTCGGCTTGCCATTCGGCGCCGATGAGATGAGAATAGCGTGCGCCAATAGCGAATACGAGGTTCATAACAGCTTTCCACTTTGGGCAGACGACCAGCGTAGGACTACCCTGATCCTTGGCAAAGTACGTTTTCAGTTGAGCTTCGAACATGTCACCTAAAATGGGGAATGGACTATGCACAACTGCTTTGTAGTAGTCGAACAGCCTCTCAGCCGACTCAGCAGAGGGTATGACGTGTGGATCACCAACATCGATGTCGATGCTGGATTTGTCAAGGTAAAAGTAGTAGCCGGAAAATTTGTCATGGTGCGGAGAAGGGCGAGTATGGCTCTGTTGCTGACGCCCGTGAAGCGCTTCAGCACGCTGGTTAAAGGCGTCGCCGTCGACGCCCGGTGGCCCGTAGGGCATGTTGGCAGGTTCGCCCTCGGGCTGTTCGATCTTGGTTTCCAGGGCTCTGAGCCACTGAACGTGCGAATTGTGACCCATGTAGCCCGTGTTGTCTGCCTCATCCGTATTGAGAATGTCCTCTTGGACGAAGTCTAGATCTTCGTTGGAGCCGACTGAAGCTGAGACGTGAGCTTCTCCGCCATCTACAGAGGTGGCGCTCAGAGCATCGTCATTGGGGGAAGGTGACGAAGCTCTTCTTGCGCGCTTGCCATGAGAGAGAGCAGGTGTTGGTGGAGGAGGCGGCGTGTCGTCTTCGAAAGATGCCAAGGTATCCTCAACTCTCTTCTTGCTCTCATCGTCAAGCTGGCTGCTCACTTCAATCAAGAGTGCAGTCAAGGCGTGCGATTTGCGTTGAGCTCTTTTGATAGTCAGACGGGGATGTGGAGCAGATGAACAAAGACATGAACAAACCCTTTGAGGCGGTCCTTGCGCTCCAGGTCGTAGTGACAATCATTGTTCTGCCGTTGACAGTTGATACATTGCGGACGGTGGCCAGAGCATTTGATCTCTGGGGCTAGTCAGCAAGCCGAAGTTGTGCGATCTAGACATGAGGAAGGGCCCACTTCGTTTACGGCACTGCGTGCACTAGAAGCGGACGTCAGCACCGGCCCAATCGTACAAGAGAGTTTACTCACAGCCTTGCTCACTACTTCGGTGCGGACCCGAGGAGTTCTTGTGGCAGGCGGCATCTGGTATCCATGGCCAGGAATTCTTGGTATGGCTACCTTTGCCTCCCTGGAGCTGGAGCCCTCGGGCGGGTAGCGGCCGTTGTCCATTCACTCGGACGTGACCACCTGCAAGTGCTGGGAGAAGGGGCGAAGCACGTGCGCAGAGGCGGAGGTAGAGGGAAAGACTGAGGCGGAGACGACGGTCCGCCTAGATGTCGTAGCGTGGAGTTACGAGTGCAGTCCTTATCGGAGTAGCAGCTGCGTCGTGGTGACGGAACGGGGGAGCATTCCGGCAGACAACCTTTACGCGTTGACCATTATAAGCCAGAATCGGGTAGTTTTCGAGACGAGGAGGGCGCCTATTAGAGGAAGGCGCTTTGTGCCGTGGCCAATGGGCGTCGAGGCGGGCGACGTCATGTTGTGTACGAGCAGGCAGGCACGTACGTAGGCGAGGAGGGAGGTCGAGGTCCGCGAGCCCTGCACCACCCACGTGCAGTATAATAGCAATATTCAAGACGGCGCGGCCACGACCCGAATCGCGTATCCGCCTAACAGGTGAGCCAGCTACTGCCCATGGACGAGAACCTGCAGGTGCCTCCAGCCCGCTCGCAGCCCACCCAGCGCGCGGCGTTATCTCGGGCGCGTCCTGCGTTGAGTCTGCAGCGGATTGTGGGCGCGGGAGCATGTGAAGCTTGTCGCGGCCGCATCACCAAGGTAAGTCGGCGGCCGTGCGCGAGCTAAACCCACCCACACCTCTGACGCTACCAGTGCTCGACCGAACGTCCCCAGTGCTCAGAGTGCCGGAAGCGGCACACGCCATGCAACTACCTTCAGCCTGCGGTCCGGCCCGTTGCTGCCAGTGCCAGGCGATACCATGGCCAGGTCCAGGTCCACGCACACCATCACCCCCAGCATGCCCTCCTCCGGCACATCTTCGCTCATCTGCGCTCCCAGCCATGGCACGTCGCCCAGGACATCCTCACCCAGCTGCGTCGCGGCACCGACGAGCGCACCCTCCTCCGTTTCCTTGAGTATGGCAGTCTACGTGTCCAGCTCAAGCTGGTCCCAGACACGACATACCAGTTCACCGCTCCCTATCTTGCTGACATGATGCCGCTCTTTGGCGGTGCCGACAACCCCTACCTTGCCTCCAGGCTGTACAAGGCCCTGTCGGACGAGACTGCCCATCACGGCACCGACATCCAGGAGCAGACTCACAGCGCCATCTACCACGTGCCCTATCCCGGCGCCCGCATGTACGATCCACGCATGTCGCCAGACACGCTGAGGCCGTCCAAGTGGACTTCGATAAGCGACGACGACGGCTTGCTCACCCGCCTTCTCGAAGGCTACTTCCTGTACGAGTTCCCATTGTGGCCTTGCTTCCACAAAGATCACTTTCTCGATGACATGACTGCTGGAAGGTCTGATTACTGTTCACCACTCCTAGTCAGCGCCATTCTCACCGCAGCCTGTGTAGGTTCTATCGTGGCTTCTCCCACTTGTTTACTTGTGAGCTGACACGATCAACAGCACGGCTTGAGTACGCTTGGGCAGAGGTCCGAGTTTTGGAACCCCAACACCTATAGCTATCGGTGTATGGCTGAGACCAGACAGCTATGGGAGCTGGAACAGTCACAAGCCGTGTGTAGTCTTCCGACTGCCCAGGCAGCTACCATCATAGGCCGAATATACTTCGCCAATGGCATGGACAAAATGGGCTGGACAATGTGGTCTCACGCTCTAGCGCTTGCGGATAGACTAGACTTATTTGCTAAGAGCGCGCAATACAATAACGAGAAGGACCGCATTTCAAGAACCATCACAGCCTGGGGCATCTTCTCTCAGCAAGCGTATGAGCTTACCTGATTTCTCCTTGCCCTCGTCTCCTCTTTCCCTCCCCCTCCTCCTGCCCCTGCCCCTGCCCCCCAACGTAGTATTGAGATCGCCTCTGATGTAAGTTCAGGTTCTCTTGCTTTTACCTTATGAAGCCCCCACTGTCTCGACTTCCACCTGAGGACGGCTTGCCCGCGTACCAAGACGCACAAGACTTCTTTGGCGAGATTTGGGTCAAATACCCTCTTGCGACACACGTGGTACGTCCCCACCTGCCCCTTATCATGGACCAAATTGACAAGCTACTAGACCCCCATCTACCTGGGACAGACATTCCTGTCGCTCATCAAGCTTCGATGCATCATGAACGACATAGCCGGAAAGGCTCTTCCAGAGGACGATGGAGATAACAATCTCGATATTGAGCAGGCCAGTCGTTATCACTACATGCTGGTACAATGGTTCCGTGATCTTCCGGAACCGTTACAGCCACAGAATGCCGCCATGCCGACACAGCTTCTGCTACAGTGAGGTTTGACACACCTTCCATGTACAAATGACTAACCTTTGGGTCACAGCATGCAGTTCCACAACCTCGTTACCATGACCTTCCAACCGTTCCTGGAAAAGGAAAAGTCTCTCAACTGGCCCAACAATAGTGGCGCATTCCAAAAGTATACAGGCTTCAGTCCGGCTCAACTATATGCTGCCTCGAAAGCGAGTCTGCAGACGCTTCTCCACATGTTCTTCCACCGTCACGGTTTCGAGGCATACTACATATTCCTACTCCAGGTCCTCGTCCAGCTAGGCTTCGATTCGATCGAGCGTCTACGCACCCCGGAAGCGCAACAAGAGCATTTCCCAGCCATAATGAAAGCCACACGAGCCACGCTCATATTGTGCGCCAAGGGCTTGCGCGACCAAGGCCATAACTTCTTCTTATCTGAACTCGTATTCCGCATTCTGCGCGACAAGATGAATCCGGTAGACGTCAAGCTGCTCAAGGACTGGGCGCACATCAAGGACGAAGATGACAGGGAGAGGTCGATGATGGAACACGTCTATGGCGAATACCCTGTCAACGTAGAGTCCATCACCTCGGATCCGACCGAGCAACGTCTGAATCGGCTGTTGCAGACTATGGCTGATCTCAAGCTTCCCAACGATACTGCTGAGCCAACTCAGCAAGACAGGGCATCGAGGACATGGCGAAGCATCGTTTTTTGAACGCGCCGAGAGATTGGTGGAGTTGGAGCAAGGTGGAGGTTTGGATACAATATACGATTCTTTGGTCACTGTGCTATTCGCTACATCCAGCCTCAATGCTTTGGCTCAGAGCTGTAGTTTCCATCTCCTGCACATCTTCACGTGTGCTCAGAAACCACAGAGCGCGACCCACTTTGTCCGATGGGTCTTTTTCGCCGGCCACTAGTCCTGACGAAGTACCGTAATCCGGATAAGCTCCTCCACCAGCCCTCTGATCCACGATCGCGATCACCATGGTAAAAGTTTTCTGCGTGCTATGTGCTAGCTGCTAGATCGAAGAACTGGACGAATGACATGCAGATGTCCGCAGCCAGACAGCTATCATTGGCTACGGGTAGTGTGCCCTGCAAGCTAGCCTCATCTGTGTGTTCGAATCGAAAATTATGCGCGAGTTATCGTAAAGGTACAAATATCGTCAGGTGAGGTTCTGGTTCTTTGTCTGGAATCCATGGATGCGACAGGGGCATGCGCTGACTGGTGATGTCACTGCTTGATTCGGCCGGTCTTTCGGAACGACACATGTCTGGGCGCGGGTTGGTAGGACTGGACACTTGCATAGCGGCACTCTTACACACTCTCTACACCTAGCGCCACATATTCAACAACGGGTTTTTATCTTTGATTAAATATTTTCGGAGTCGTGCTATGCATGAACATCGACCCTCTCTATGGATCTATCGGAGATGCCGACGCTCATCATTGGCTCTTCTTCTTCTGCATCTCCATCTTTCTCTCGCGCTTATCGGCGATCCTTTGGAAAATACTGCCATCGTATACGGCACGAATATCCTCCTTGTTATTGTTAGCATCAACAGCAACTCAAGATAGGTTCTGTCATATCGCGTACCTTCATCATCCGACCGTCTTCGGGCCAGAGCGTCAAATACGTTGCAGTCCCTTGTTTGATATCAGCATTTCGCCTCTCATACCATCCGATAACGATTGTGCTTACACTCAAAGATGAATCCACACATCCCGATAGGATCGTTGATATTCCTCTGCCCCTTCAAGACGTTCACCAGATCACCCACGGTCAGATAATCCCGTCCCTCCGCGTACTTGGTGAAGATCTCTTCGAATTTCGACGGTATAAATCGCCCCTCGGTGTCGTACGTGCCTGTATCACTACCGTGCCGCGCTCTATGCACGTTGTTCAGAAAGAGACGGAAGTAGGGGTCCGGGAGCCATCCCGAGCACGTGGGATATGAGAAGTTGATGTGGATGACCAATACGGCGAAGGCGGAGAAGAAGAGTCCGCAACCTAGGCGGTAGAAGCCGACAAAGGTGTCTTGCGGCCAGAGAATACCATCGTGGTCGCGGTCAAAGAAGTCGCAGTGTTGTTGCAGTACGGTTTGGTGCGAGTGCTTCTTTGCCCAGTCGTCTTGCGTGCTGCCTTGAGGTGTTTCCTCTGAAGGAGCGAGGTTTGCACGTGCGACCGCTATGGAGGGTTAGCACCTGGGCAGACGACGTAGTAGTAGCGTGCGCGCCGTGGTACGTACCTGCGTGTGGTAGGTTTGACTTCTTCCCTTGGATGTATGGTTTCCTTTCTTGGGTAATGGGCACATTGTCGATTGCGTAGACTGGTACATCTCCACCAGACTCCGCGTGTCCATTAGCTCCTTCCATCTTTGCGATCATGATTACGGTAACAATATGTATGGGAATTAGAGGAGGTTACACACGACAAAATACAGCTGGATTAAAAGCAACGCCCTAGGTATTCGCCCTGCTGTAGTCGCGAGGCTTGAGCCGCATGTTCCTATTGGATCAAGGGCTCACCATGACGTCAATGACTATGTCAAGAGCCTTGGTATGGCAGTGCAGCAACTCAAAAAGGTTTCATGGATTTGTTTGCCACGTCTGAAACTATCGGTTTATTTCTGTATTGTCACTGTGAATGCAATGTGGCGTGCGTGTGCTTGCATGCTGTACGACGTTGGTTTGCGGCTGCTATCTTTCGAGATGTGGCTCCGCGGCCAATCACCGAAATGTGACCCTGCTTTGGAACACGCCGTGGCTTGATCTTCAGGTACGCGTCAGACTTGGATCATCCGCGATATATCGCCTGTTCATATACGTCTACCGTCTACCGTCTACGTGATGCATCGTCCTGGACCGTCAAGGCAGCGCATGCGCACGATCATACCATCCAACTGTTCGATTTTGAACAGCTGAAGTCAAAACTCGCACCTCTAAACGTTGTGTGTTCACTGGGAATTGCATGATGCTAATGTCATGCTCCAGCGGAGAGTCACAGAATGCCATGAGCGTGCCGTGACCTGGACTTTGGCGGTTGATACCTTTGATCGCGATATGGCAGTTCCATAGTCAGTGGTAGCACACATAGTTGTCGCGAGTTTGATAGATGGTCGCAGACGTGGTGTTGATCGAACAGCGCATCCGATCTGGCTAGCGCGATCTCGGGGATGAATGACGCGCATGCACGGGACCGCGGGAACACGCGCCGGCCAGATGTCGCGTCTACATGGCAGTCTTCTGTTCTACTATGCGACTCCACTAGTACCCTCCAGGACTGTCTTACGCCCTCCCGAAACGCGACTTCGATATCTGACATGAGCCGTCAGTCGGCATGTCGTCCCCATCGCCGGAGTTTCGTTCGTCGCAGTTCTCCATCACCTCTCCGCGTCGCATCCCCAAGTCGAAGTTTACGTATAAACAGCTGCACCAGCTCAAGACCTACAGCCCGCAAACGCCCCTCCGCGTGATCGCACACGTAGACCTCGATGCCTTTTACGCGCAGTGCGAAACCGTCCGCCTCGGCATCGACCCCTCCAAACCGCTCGCCGTACAACAATGGCAGGGCCTGATCGCCATCAACTACCCCGCGCGCGCATTCGGACTCAGCCGACACGTCACATCGACCGAAGCGTTGAAGCAATGCCCGGATCTTATACTGCAACACGTTGCGACGTGGAAGGAGGGAGACGAGACATGGGCATATCATGAGAACAGCTTCAGGGACATGGCGACGCATAAAGTCAGCCTGGACCCATATCGCATGGAGAGCCGCAAGATCCTGAAATGCATCAAGGAGACTCTGCCTGAGAAAGAACAGCGCGTCGAGAAGGCGAGTATCGACGAGGTCTTTATGGATCTGAGTGCGCAGGTGCATACCATATTGCTCGAGAGATACCCCGAGTTGAGAGGCCCCGCCCCGTACGACGATCCGACCGAGCCACTGCCGAAGGTGCCTACAACCGTGTTGGACTGGGCGGCCGATGCGCTCGTCGAGACAGGCGAGGAAGATGGAGAAGACAGAGATCCAGACTGGGACGACGTGTGTATGGTCATCGCATCCGAAATTGTACGAGATGTGAGGAGACATATCAAGGATACTTTGGGCTACACATGCTCTGGGGGCGTTGCGAGGAACAAGATGCTATCGAAACTAGGGTCAGGATACAAGAAGCCGAATCAACAAACCGTTATACGGAATCGCGCTGTCAAGCACTTTCTCTCCGACATGAAGTTTACCAAGATCCGCATGCTAGGAGGCAAACTGGGGGACGAAGTAGTGGCAATGTTCGGGACAGACAAAGTGAAGGACCTTGTGGAACAGCCGTTGGACCAACTGAAGAAGCTAGGCGATGATACCGGCAGTTGGATATACTCCATCATTAGAGGCGAAGACAGCAGCGAGGTCAACCCGCGTACGCAGATCAAGAGCATGCTTTCAGCGAAATCCTTCAGACCAGCCATCAACTCGTTCGAGCAGGGAGTAAGGTGGCTACGCATCTTCGTGGCGGACATCTTCTCACGGTGCGTGGAAGAGGGTGTGCTGGAGAACAAGAGAAGACCCAAGAGCATCAACTTGCATCATCGCCAAGGGGCGCAAACACGGAGTCGACAAGCACCGATACCCCAGGGCAAACCACTGTCAGAAACCATCTTGTTCGACCTTGCGAAGAATCTTCTAGCCCAAGTCGTCGTCGATGGAAGAGCGTGGCCTTGCTCCAATCTTTCTCTGAGCGTCGGGGGTTTCGAAGACGGCATCACGAACAATAAAGGAATTGGCGGCTTCCTCGTTCGAGGCGAAGAAGCAAAGGCCATGATGTCAAGTGGCAGAGCCACCATCGGCGGAGGCGAGCCACCTGCGAAGCGGAGAAGGACAAAAGGCAACATTGCTAATTTCTTCGGTCCAAGAGACGAGAAGAAAAGCGACTTCGATGCTGCGAGAGCTGTATTGTGGAAAGCACATAGCGAGTCTACAAGGGACGAGAGTGGAGACGAGGCGGAAGCAACAGGAGAAGATCTCGATTCTTTCCAAGCACAACAAGACGATGAACTGCAGCGACCATCGACACCACCATTAGACCGCCACAGTTCAGACATGGACTTGTATCCACCGGGCACACCTCCCTCGGCCCAACCCCAGCCGGCGTCACATTCCCCACCACAACAGCATCACGACCCAGTAACACCGGTTCCTCGTGCTAGACCCTCCGTACCGCAGAGACCTGTAGAGACTTACTTTTGCTCACGTTGTAACCTCCACCTCCCACCAGCCGAGGAAGCCGAACACGAAGACTACCACTTCGCCCTCGATCTATCGAAGGAAATGCGGCAGGAAGAAAGGAATCCCACACCGGCCCCTGCAAAAAAAGGTGCTGGCGGTTCGAAACCTTCTAGAGGGCGGGGACGGCCACCGGGAAACGGTGCTGGGAGAGGAGACGGGGTAGAGAAAGGGCAGGCTAAGCTGTTCTTTGGAAGAGGGAGTTGATCATATTGAGTGTTACGACGAGTCAATGTTTCAATGAAGTCACGTTGTTTGGAAGTCAAGGCTTCTTCTTGAGCCTCGGGTGCATTCGTGATAAAGATGCGCTTATTCGCTTTGCCTCTGCGATGGTACATGAGTGCCAAAACTAATGATGTAGTCTGATGTTTACGATCCTTCACTTCACCATACGACGTCAAAGTCCAATTGGACTCGCGGCACCTCC